CAACCCCTGCAGCTCCCCCAGCTGGGCTAGAACCTCAAGCGCTGGCTCTGGGGCGCCCCAGACGCGGGGGCAGTGCGCCCTCTGCTGGAGGCTCGCTCAGAAAGCAGGACGGAGCCGGGCTCAGCGTGGGGCTGGCCTTGGGGAAAACAACTGAGGCCCTCAAAGTGCTTTTCTCTACGTGGGTCGTTTATATGGCTAACTTCTGTCTTAGAAATGGAGACAGCAATTTTTAAGGTCATTTGCTATGTGCCACACTAGGCTTGGTGTACTGCCGCCGCCAGAGGGAGGGTGGACGGGACTGGGGACCGGAAGGTCTGGGCTCTCATCCTGGCTCGACCACTTCCTGACCGGGTGGCACCCCTTGGTGCAGTGGGGCTGATGACACACGCACTTCGAAGGACAAGGGCGGTGAGGTCGTGGGTGAGGGAGTTCTCCGAAGACCTGAAGTTGAGGTCAAGTTCAGTACCGTTAGAGATGGCTCCAGTGTCCCAGTGCCCCGTGCTGGGGTCTCCGGACCGTCTTCGTGCTGTGTTCAGAACCCACTGAAGGGGCAAGGCAGGCCCGGAGGTCTGACTTTGCCCTAAACAGGCTCGGCACCCTGAGCTTTCTCCCTTCTCCTGGGGCTACCTCCCACCCCGAGACCCCCATCCGGACTCTGGGATGGGGGCCTGAGCGGCCGGCTGTGGGCAGCATTTGCCAGCAGCAGCTGGCTCTCGCCACCCCCCACCCCCTGCCGGCCTGTCTCTACAACAGTCTCTCGTCCCCCCGGGGCCAGTTGACTCAGGCTGTGCTCAGGCCTCTAGGGGCCACCCGTGGGACCCCAGGAAGGGTGTGAGGTGGGAAAGTGTGGAGGCCACCCTCCAGAGCCTCACGCGGGCGCGTGTGTCTGCTACCCAGGAGCCGAGGGCTGGCGGGCCGGAAGTGTGGGGGGCCCAGAGCATCCCGCGCAGCGGAGCCCAAGGGGGCTGCTCCTGAATCCAGAAGGCGAGGAGGAGCTCACGCTACCAGGTACCTGCAGCCACAGGCAGGGGCAGGGCTGCCCCGTGTTCATTTCCTA